CTCAATAAATTGAACTAAAGTTGGAGGAAAACTTGAAGCAGACTAGTAATTTCTGGCACAGTATCAACCCTACTATACAAGTATGCACTAGCAGTTCCAATGTTTGAAGTGAACCTAAATTTAATGCTCATGTCGTGAGGGGGAGGTAAAGATCGAAGGTAGTGAGCCACTTGCAAATTTCGGGACTGAGCCTTAGGGAGGGGAAGGGATCCTGGGGAAGGGCAGAGCAACCACTGTTCTCCCTGGCGTTTCTCCCCTCTCCTGGGCTTAGTCTAGTGTCACCTACCAGCGGTTTTCGAATGCCCCGTTCCGAATGTCTCTCCTATGAACGTGAGCGCCCCCAAAATTTACCTCTCAGACCGTCAGACTCGCACATCAAGTCACTACAACTAGTCGTTGAGAAACGGCAATCGCTTGCACGTTAACGGGCAGCTTTAACGAGTGGAGGTGCAAGTTTTTCAGATGGTGGAAATCGCTTCTATGGCACCTAGGAGACCTATTATGAAACTCTGAAGAAAGCTTCCCAGGTGAGCTGCAGCTCCCTGGCAGGGTGGTTCCTTGTTACGCGCAGCCGTAAAACGCGCAGGAAGGGCTCGCTGACAGAAAACGGGACGCGGAGGGGCGAAATACAATGTGTTTGGAGAGACGCAGGTGACGCCCGTTACGCGCAGCAAAAAGTCCTTCGGAGGACTTTTTGGAGTTGGCCAACTTCAAACTGCCAGGTGCGTGGGTCAAAGCACGGTGTTGGAAAGGGAAAGGGAGGCACCTTGCATTGATTCGTCAGTGGTGTAGCGCCTGCGGTCTACGTTGGTGTTGGATCGGTCGCGGGATCAATACTACTTAAGTCTAAAGGTTTGCAACCTTCGTAGGCTATTCCCTTTTCTCTACAACCCTTTCACCGCGATAAGAAGGGCTCCTTAGTGCAGTGGTAACGATGCCGCTCATGGGACGGTGCACCGAAAGTTCGAACCCGTGTGTGACGCAAGGTTTGCAGGCAACGTGGGGCTCACCACTTCCACTATGGCAAATTACCAATGGCTCAATAGGAACGTTCCACGCTGCCGCTGGCAAGGTTGCTGGATCTACACCGCTTGGAGTCTAAGATTTGCAAACAACATCCGTTGCTTACCTGTTGTCAAGACCTCTTCCGATGCTGTGATCGAGTGATCCCTGGTGCACTGGCAAAAACCCGGCTTTGAGTCCTGTCATCCAGGGTTCAAGTCCGAGAGTGGCGCAAGTTTTGCAGGTAGTGTGGCGAGGCTGGCGGTTTCAAGAAGGGTCAAGTCCATGTTTCCACGTTCCTTGTTCCTCGTCAATGGGTGAAAATCACCACATTTGATTGCCAGTCTAGGGCACTTTACTACCGTCAAAGCAAACTACATATAGGTGCTGCCGTTAAGGAGGCCTACCGTAATTGCTTCAGCCTGAAACAGCTACACAATTTTTTCTGATACTACATGTGCGTACACGATCTCCACTACGCATGCGTTCCTACTTAGGAAAGGTTATATGTAGAAAGGGAAAAATACAGCTGCTATTAAATTCCAAACAGATGAACCCCATGCCCCTTTTTTAAACCACCTTTGTAGACCACCAATATCAATACAACCTCATCCTCGTCCGTCCGAGAGAGACTCGCCTACTGAAAAGTCCTTGATGTTGGCTGGTCCTGCGACATACAGTAGCGGTCAAAACTTTGGGAACTTTTCTATTTTTGATCTAGCGCGGCCGACACATAACGAAATTGTGGTACTAGCAACAAGGTTGACGGGACAAACGAGAGAAAAACGGCAACTCAAAAAGTTCACACAGAATTTTCCCGCCTCCATAGCTGGTAGTCAGTCAGATCACAGAACACGCGTTCGCCGTAATTTCAACTTTTGTCGCCATATTGTGACGATTACTGTGGTAAAACACTGGAAATAATCTGCCATTCCCCATGCAGAGCACCGGCAACTCTTTCGAATGCACCCCAGAATGCACTTTTAATTCAGTGTAGTGAGGAGACCCAGATTTTTGTCTCAAGTATCTGGACATCGGCAACCAAAAATTGTCATGTCGTGAAAGAGAGCTCCAACGCAGCACGGTGCTTCTTGCCACGCCGCTCCCATCGACGCGCTTTCTAGGCTATTAAAAACATAGACAGTCGCAAATGCTTTCGGTTGAGGACGATTTTTCAGCTGCATTCGCTGCGAAATACTGCGGCAGGAATGCTTTGAAGAGAGCATTGACCATGCTCACATGCTTTTGTCACTCTTCCAAAACCATCCCTAAAATTTCGCAAGATGAAGTAGTAAATGCGCAAAGTTTCCCCCGGCAACGTAACAAAACGTGGAGGAGGCTGCGGCTAGAAACACTTTCAACCCTGTGGGCCATGGTTTTCGAATATGCCTGTACATAGTCATGACTTGCAAAAATTACACTAATGA